ACTGCTACTTTCTTTTGATGGATCATTTTATTTTACTTTCAATATTTTATAAATATATCTTATAATAATTATATTAACGTTTTTTTTGATCAAATTCACTGACTTTTGATAGCAGACATATCCTGATCTTTTTAAACTCAAATGTTTGTGTCTATTTAGCATTTTGAAATTGTAATATTTCACAATATTGCTGTTTTACTGTATTTTTTTAACAAATAAATGCAGGCTGGTGAGCATAATAAACTTCTTTCAAAACATACAAAAATCTATATGATTCTAAACTTTTTATCTATTATATTTTATTTTATTTTATTTATTTATTTCAAAGGCTCATTTGTGGCAGGTTAGTGATGTCTTATGTGTAGGGGATCGCGGGGCACAACGTAACACAGGGCTAGTTGTAACCCACTTGTTTTAAATACTTCCACACATGCCAGCATGACGAAACTTGGTGTATTTACTAGTTGCCATTTCAACACTATCGAGAAAAAAATTGCGCCAAAATTCCGAAATCTTTGTAAGATATCACTGAACATTTATTTAACCATAGCAAAAGTAAATTTCTTAATTTAATTTTTCATCTCTATTTTTTGTGTTTATTTAAAATTAGACAAATCGGATATTATTTTAATCTAAAACAGTTGATCTAGTTCTTTAATGCTTCGCTAACTAGCAGAAGACACTAGTAGGGTTTAAACCCCAGTTGTGCAGTTAGAAATATATTACAGTCTATACTTTTATGAATTCTATTGAGAAAACATGAGAAACATTTAAATAAAGACTGAGAGTCAACGTTCAGAAATTATTAATTATTATTTTGTTTTAAACTATTCTGTATAGCTGTGTTTTCGGTGTGTTTGTTGTCTGTAAGAAAATATTTTGGTTTGACTTATATTTTTGATGTATATTGACATATATTTTTTGGATTAGATCAGAGACCATTTTAACATTTTTTTTACATTTCGCTACCATTTTTTCGGGGTAAATCAAGAAAAAAGTATACAATGTAATAATAAAACAAAACCACATAATTGTACTAGACGTGGCTGTGCTTAGCTCTCACCTATCTGTTAGCGCTGATACAGCTTGTTTCTGATAAAGAGCAGGTCTTTGTAACTTACCCACATGCTCCTAGACTATTACATCACATCCTCCATTTATTCCCAGTTTATGATTTACGCTGTAAATGCACATTACATGTGTGTGCTTTTTCCTGTGTCTGGAATACATTATATGCAGGCTTTGACGTCATGACCGCTCTCTCACAAACCCCCAATCACAGCCCGCCACTGACCGCCACCATAAACTGCAATTACAGGTTTCCGCTTTACCAAGACAGTGTCCAGTTTAACATATTCTTTCTCTGTTTATGCATTTTTTTGGTATGCTGAAGCAAAGAAACATGGACTTTATTGTATGTTTCAAGACCGTTTCTTGCTTGCACAGCCTTTGTGTTGCATAAGGTCTCGTGGAGTGCGTTTAACAGGTGTGTTGACTTGTGGTGCTGAGTTTCCCACACTTGGGGTTGATAAATGTACGAATAAGATTATTTAACTACCAAGGACAATTATTTCCTTTCATTAAAAAATAACCGTGGTGGGACAGACTCTTAAGAACTCAACAAACAGCTTGGTTGGAAAGTCCCTGTTTAAAGTAGAAAGAACTAATGAATCGATGTCATGAGCAGTTGTTTTCTTCAATGGGTAGATCAGACAGTTAGAATTCTCCAAATGAGATTCAGGTTCAGATCTGCAAGCACTTGATTTGATTCCATTTGAGTCTAATTCTGATGGCGGTGTTTCAAACGGATCTTTTTAAACTATTTATTTATAGCACTGCCTCATGAGATTAAAACATTTTGCAAATCAGGCAACTCACTAAATTCACTCAAAAGAATTGAGTCATGTGTTCGTAAATCAGAATCCATTGGTCATACATTGGTTGGCAACCAATCAGGCAAGTCACTAAATTCACTAAAACAAACTGAGTCATGTGTTGAAAAATCAGAATGCAATGGTCATAGATTGGTTGTATGTTTGTTTTTGCATGTAGCCTGTGAGAACAAATCATATCCAAACCTCCAAAACTGTCTGTTTTCAGTAATGGTTTTTAATCTGCATTAGGGTGTTGTAGCATAAATAATTTTTTTTTTTGGCGTTCATACGGGCGGCCATATTGAGTGTTACAGTTTCTCCCATTCAAATTTCTATGAGTGGTCTGTTGACTAGTCCCTGGTGAAACTCAAGGCAGTCATTCTGAATGTGATTTCATTAGCGGTTAGTTCAGTGCTAAATTGTGCAGCCACAGCTAATTTGAAACTGTCACTATAGGGGGGAACAAACATCTTAGTGAACACAGTTTTTAAAAATCATGTCGGATAGGTTCTTCATCAAGTTAGAAACTGCATATTTTGTGACATCTTTATAGTAAGAGAATTAAACCATGAATGTGTTTTGCTTAGGAGCATATCCATGTGAACAGAAACAATGTTGGGTTGTTTGAACCCAAATTTGGGTAAAATATGGCAGCCCATTCTCACCCCCAAGGCGTCACTTAACTGACGCCTTGGGAAGCATTTGGACATGCTTCAATATCTGACGCTTTAGGCGCCCTTTAGCGTCAGTAAGATGACGCCCTAGGATCGCGTGTACCCTACCCCCACCCCACACCTAAACCTAACCACGTCCTCTAACAGACGCTTTCCTTTAGCGTCAGTTAGATGACGCCGTAGGATCGCGTCATGTAAGTGACGCTAAAGGGCGCCTAAAACGTCAAATATTGAAGCATGGTCAAAGGTGACGCCTTGGGGTGAGAATGCGTTGAATATGGACAAAATCAAATGTTGGGTTAAAAAAATGTAGTTTCAAATTTTAACCAAACTTCAACTTTCGCTTTCAACTGTACATTTTTTTTATTGCATTTTTAACCCAACGTTTGGGTTTGTCCATGTTTGACCCAAATTTGCGTTGAAACAACCCAGCATTTTTTATGGTAACTTTCTGTTACCATTCTTAAAGCTATCTCAACACTTTTACTATGAAAGATGATGTATTTTTTAATGGTAATAAATACCCAACTAGATTCTCTACTGGACTGAGTTGATATTCAAAAGGAAGAGTTTAATAACTCTTGAAATGTAGAAGAATATCAGAACAAGAAGCTCTTTATTTTTCTGAGCTGTTAAATTTGTAAAAAAAAATAAATCTGGATAATGTTTGATCACTGATAGTGAATCTAATACAGTCGTTCTCAACTAATGGGCTACTATGTAGCCTACTTTCAAATATGCCTATGTACTCTTTGTTGTTTTTAATGTCAAGAATAGTGAGTCCAGTAAAACGTAACTGTATTTGAGCAAATTCATCTGTCACTTGCTAAATAAGATGGATTTTTTTATTATCTTGAAGCAAACCAGTTAAGAACAACTTATCTTCGGGGAAATACAGTAGTTGATGAGCAGGGAAAGGAACTGAGGGAAGGAGAGAGTAAGTTTCACACAGCAGTAGTTCCAGGACTGTTACAACGGGTTAATTCCTGAAATAGCATTCCTCAGCAGCTCTGTCTAATATACAAGGCATTGGATCTTCTTTCCTACTTTCCTTCCAGTACCATATTACTACATTACTCTTATTAATGCACTCTCAACAGGCTTATGCACTCTTCACCCTTCACTCCCACCAACTTCATCCAAACTTGTCAAGATTGTCCTCATTTGCCTTGGTTACATAACCAGCTGTCTTTGTCTCACATTCAAGATGTTTCAGATCTATCAGAAATATGTTTTCCATAACACCTGTATTTTACCTTTTGTGTGCTTGCTGTAGGACTGTCTTTCTGAACCATTACACATAATTCACACATGAACTAATTTTGGACAATCAGTTCCCTGTTTTAAAGATGGGGGGAAAAACACCCAATATGAATGTGTTTTTGCTGCTTACAGTCTGGCAAACAAGAGAAAGAGGCAGTCAATGGTCCGGTTGACCAGTCACCTGTCTCGGGGGCCCATGTTATTGGTACCATCTGGCTTTGCCTTTGACATAATGTCATGTGTGGACAGGTTGAGCTGTCTGGAGAGCCATGTGGAAATTCAAACAAACTTAGGTGTTCTATATGTGTTTTTTACCAACAACTTCTGTCAACTACCTCCTCTTTTTAAGGACAATTATGCAGTTCAGCCTTTAAAGCCCAAAGCCACAAATCAAAGTTATGAAAGAAGACTACACTGTCAGTTTTTCCATGTGCACAGCACAGAATCCTTAGCATAGAGCATGTGCCAGCTTATGGATTTGGCTCATTTTGATGTCTACTGCATTTCTGAGATTTAAAAAATACAGAATAGCTGCTACCCTGATTTAGTAAGTTGTGTTTTGATTTGTCAGAAAATTATGGTGTGTTTAACTTCAGTCTTTCAGTGCAGTTTGGAGACTTCTTTCTCAAGTGACTTGTGAAGTTTAGAGGAAAAATATGGATAATTTCACTTGCTTTTTGACCACCTAAATCCTTTGTTTAGGAACCAGGAAAAACATTTCTATCAAACAATCATAGCTTGAACACTACCTCTTACCCCTATTTCTAACCCTAACCTCCCCTGACGACTGATCTGAAATAAGGATATTATTGGTTTATAAGAACATTGTCCAAACCCCCAACTCTTAACCTAACCATTAAATTTGATTGGTTAAATTGATCCATAACTAGCCAAATTGATCAAGGAACATGTCATTCTTGGAGAAATAGCATTAAAAGAAAGGGGACTAACTGGCAAAAAATACTTAGTCGTAATTCTTTAAGTCCAGACCTGAAGGTTGGTTAAGACATGTTTTGAATTTTCAGCCAGTGAAGTCACTTTGAACTTGAATGTGGTTCAACTTCAGTTGACAAAGACTTGTCCTACAAGTCACAAAGTATACAAAGCTCACCATACTGTATGTCCCGTCATGTACCAACATGAATCTTCTAACCCATAAATTTACTTAAAATATGTGTCTCTTCGACAGACACGAAGGCTGACGAAAGTGGAACGGCAGCGTTTCAGTGAAGAGGTGGACATGCTGAAGTGCCTGCAGCATCCAAACATTGTCCGTTTTTACGACTCCTGGAAGTCCAGCATGAAAGGGCAAAAGTGCATTATCCTTGTAACGGAACTCATGACGTCTGGGACGCTGAAGACGTAAGTCCAGTCTGAGCATAAATGTGCAAAATTGCTACAAAAGTACTTGCATATGGTGTAGCCATTAGAGATGCCAGTAAGAAGACAAGAAAATTATGTTCCTCTTGTAATTGAGCTTCTGCTCATGCTTGTGCAATCTCACATGAGACACTGAAGCCCAGCTGCTTTTCCATTCTTTTTTCCCAGATTAATAACTGCACTTTGTCATTTTGAAGACACATTTATCAAGAGTTGCCAACTGTTGAGTGTTTTGTTCAGTAAATGAAAGATCTCAGCTTTTTTATTGAGCTCACTCCACTCACAACTTCTGAAGCTATGGGTTACAACCCAAATCTTTCACAACTATGCCACCACCATACAGCAGTTTAAATTTATATCCATGTATGTTATGAAACAAATAAAATATCCAAGTTTGGCACACTGTTCATTAACAGTTGCTCTGTCCCAAATGGCATCACAGTTTGTGACATAATGCTTCACAGATTGTTGTAGAAGGTTGCTCTTAAGGCACATCAAAACTGCATAGATTATATATACTGTATTTAAACTAAAAGGACAAATAGGAGAAGGAAATAAGTCCATAGCTTATTTCCGAACCTAGTGATCCTTTTTTTTTTACTGCCAACTGCCTACATAGTCCACCAAACTATTTCTCTGCATGGGAAACTTACTGTATTTCAGTAGAGCTAGCTTTCCATTAGCATGTTGCTAAGCTAACAGTGCAATACTATAATAATGCAAATTTTCATTAAATTAGTTGCCTTAGAATTTAGCCCCCAAATATGCCAACTGTAACTAATATCCCTACCTTTTTGGAATAGTCTTCATTTTTAGAAAGTCCCTTAAAATGCTTCCTCTTGTAGGTAGTTCGCAAGGTTTTGGAATAGAGCGCACCTTTTGTTGTTTGTTACTGTGTTTTAAACTTGTTTGCTCTTTTCCTGTAGATATCTGAAAAGGTTCAAAGAGATGAAGCTAAAGCTCCTCCAGCGTTGGAGTCAACAGATCCTCAAAGGCCTTCACTTCCTGCACACACGAACACCTCCCATAATCCACCGAGACCTTAAATGTGACAACATCTTCATCACTGGCCCCACTGGATATGTTAAGATTGGTGATTTAGGCCTAGCCACTCTCAAGAGTGCTTCGTTTGCTAAGAGCGTCATTGGTAAGTTTGAAAAAATGTAGTGCTTATTAAATTCAAAAGTTACAATGTCAAGAGTTTCTCTTCAATCACTCAAGAAGAACTTTCTTTGACCTTCATAAGAGTTACTGTAAATAGTGCCCTGAGGTGCCTCTACTATGGCCTTATCTTGTTTGTTTTCTCTGTCAACTGTATTTATGCCCCAACAAGTGCTTGACACAGATTTTTCACCTCACCTGTATACAGTGCTGCGTATATCACAATAGCTCAGCGTTGGCTCGGCACAGGTTTAAAATCGGATCTTCTCACGCTGAGATTAGGAGAGTTCAATGACATGAATAAGTAACGAATGTGTAACCTGGTACATCAGGCTAGTCCAACCAATAGCTCAAGTTCCCATAATTAGTTTAATAGAATTAGTTGTATCCTTGTAAGTGATTTTGGAAGACTTGCCCTCGAAACCTGCTCAGATCTCAAATGTATTGTGAATGTTTATGAGTGCACATTTAACATTCAGCCAATTGGTGGTCCAAACAAAGCTCTGGGATCACCGCTGTGCCCTGGAGCAAGACACTGTAACCCAGGATACCACATTAGGACTGTCCTTTTAATATGTATGCTTTGTTTAACTAAATGGCTACTTAATGCACATTTTTTGACATTGATCTTTGCTCACACATAGGAACCCCAGAGTTTATGGCTCCAGAGATGTACGAGGAGAAATATGATGAAGCTGTGGATGTTTATGCCTTTGGCATGTGCATCCTGGAGATGACCACATCAGAATACCCCTACTCAGAGTGCCAAAACGCTGCGCAGATCTACCGCAAAGTCACCAGTGTAAGTCAATCCTCACATCTGTATTGCAAGGTTGAGATGGATGTCATTGCCCCGGGCTGCACTTAATGTTATTTACCGTCAATACAGACTACATTGGCTTGTCAAGTTACGTGAAAAGTATGACCTCTTTCTCTGTCTGCCTCTTAAAACGTACTACAGCTTGCGTAGTTGGCCTTTTTGTGAAACCATGCACCGATTCTCTGCTCTTTCAGCTCTCGGCCACCCACTTCATTGGCCATCTCCCCTCAAAGAGGCTCCAAGGCTTTTATGAGTCCACTAATGGTTGTGTGAGGGCTTTATGAGGTGCTCTCTGACATTTCTTTGCAACAAGAGGACAATTAGCGTATTTCTCTTGAGCTGTAATTCTGCTTAGGACATGCTGATCTTGCCTAGATCTCTAATCAACCCCTGGTTAACCACAGAATCCAAGAGGATTTCTGATTAGTGTGGCAAAAGTGTCATTTAATTGTGCTAACCTCAATCTTGGGTGAGCATTGAGTTGCATGGTTATTTCTCCCACAAGGGGTGACTTTTTCCCTTGGGACAACTCATTAATAATCAAATCAGCCTGCTGCATGAATAATATACAAAGCAAAAAACGCTCAGTTAAACAGTTCTAGAACAACACTAACAGCATTGTTGAATTCAGAAGCCCTAGAGGAGATTCATTATTTTGGTAGGAAAATTGCCTGGTTTTCTTTTTCTTGTCCTGAATCCTCAAGGAGCATTTCAGTTCCATTTATGATGCATTAATATTCAACACATGTTGAAGAAACACTTTTCCTATTCATTATATTGTCCTGTCCTGCATCATGGTCCCGTGTTTATGACATTGCAGCCATTCGGTCTTCAATCAGCACATCCTTTGGTTGTGTTTTGTTCCTGTTTTCCGTCACAGATTGGTGTTACAGCGTTGTCAAGGTTAGGCCATATCAGATTCCGCTGATAAGGAAAGAGGAAGGAAATTGTGAATTAGATGCGCGCAGTCATTTGTGTGTTTGACTTGACAAACAGACGTCACCTATTATCCTTCGGTTGCTGAGACAATAGAGCAGTGAATTTGTGGCATGTGTGGCTTTGAAGTTGGCATGCAGAAATTACATGGTTGGTCGGAGAGGACATTTCCGTTTTCCAGAACACTAAGCTGTAAGGATAGGCAGAGCGAGACAGTAGCATTTTTCTGCAATCCCAGAAAGCACTGCAGCAAGCTTAGTGGTATATTTGTATGTTATATATTTACATTTATTTAAGTATACACTACACTACACTACTATTCAGAAGTTTGTGGCCATTAAGATATTTTTTATGTGTATATGTCTCTTATTTTCACTTGATTATAAATATCGTGATATATTACAATTATTATAGTATTATTATTATCAATGTTGAAAACATTTGTTTAATATTTTTTGGTGGAAATCGATTTATTTCACAATCCTTTGATAAATAGACAGTTTAGAGTATTTATTTGAACTGTTAAAGTCTTTTGTATCACTTTTGGTCAATTTAATACATTCTTGCTGGAAAAAAAGTATTATTTTTTAAAACAAAATTTCTGAAATTAGTAGTTATTAATAAGCGGAAACTCTACTAATCTGTCTACAAACTCTAATGTCTGGTAGTTGACATGTAGTTACAATGTTACTTATGAATATTTCGTAGAATGTCTAAAGTGGATTATCGAACTTAATTCTTAAATCCCAAAGTAATTCAACCAAGACTTATTGTCTTACATAATTTTATAGTTGTTTAAAATTAACTCGGACGAAAATAAAAATACTGATCAAGACAGATTTTCTGTGGATGTTTTTCTTGTAGATCTGTATTTTGCATGTGTATCCCGTGTGTCTGTATTTGCATGTCCATTCACATCATCACCGTCTCGAGCCAATCATAATTTACTGATTATGACTGTTAATCTTCACAGTAGGCTACATACAGTGGATCAGCTATGCGAGATCTAAGAGTGTGGACACAAGCCTGGGAGGGTTGCAGAGGAGTTCAGTGGGGAACAGTGGAGCCCAAAGGGTGTCGAACAATGTGTCTGAGTATCAGCTGATTGGAGAATGTGTCTTAAAGGGACATTCATATTTGGTCCTGACGGGCCCTTGCTTGCACTTTAATGAAAATCATCCTCTGTGTCGCCGGGGGCTTAAAGCGTGGGGTTTGTGATAAGGCGGTCATGATCTGTGGAGGAGGCGTTTGACCCTGCATATGTTTATAAGAGCATGAATGATGCTGTTGTTTATAGAAGCTGTAAGTTCTGTTTAGAATGGGTTTTATGATCTGCTTGAGCCTTTAACAAGCTTTTAGGAGATGGGAAATGTTAATGTTCAATTGTTTCTAGAGCAAAGGAAGTTAGAAAGATAAACAGCAGCTTTCCAAAGCTGTTTTTCGAAACCACACGTCCCAGGCATCCCAGAGAGACAAGGCATGTGTAACACAGAAAATCATTCAAGGCAGACATTGAGCATTGTAAACAACCGGCTCCCCTCAGCCATGCTGTTCTATTTGTGTACGTTTGTTTTAGGTGATGTGCAAATACCACCAAACACATGCATTTTGTGGAGGACCGAGGTTGAGCTTCAATATTCAGAGTCTTAAGTGCACAACACGTTCTCCAACAAGCACAGTCCTCAGTCTCATGTGTTTGTTTTTTGGACAGGTGGGCCCTCGAGCGCAACTTTATGAACTGCCATCCCTGCACTTAACATTCTTGTGTTGTTATGCCACAGGGATATCTTGCAGTTTTTGGGTTACCATGGCAACACAGTCTCTTATTTAGTTCTTAACCTGTCAATCTTTCAAACTTCTGAAAGTCTATTGTAAGGTAAAAAAAAAAGGGTGCTTGAACCACCTGTGGCTGATTCCTGAAATATAAAAGTCTCTGCAAGTCATTTGGTCCACTTTTTTTTAAATGTGGGTAACACTTTAGTTTAGGGTCCAATTCTCACTATTAACTATTTGCTTATTAGCATAGACATTATTTATTATGCTAATATTTTTTGCATACATATTATTGGCTGTTTCTTAGCTCTGATAAAGAATGCCTTATTCTGCATGACCATATTCTACATCCCTTACCCAATACCTAAACTTAACAACTATCTTACTAACTATTATTAATTAGCTGTAATTAGGAGTTTATTGAGGCAATTTGTGGTTAATAATTTTAGCTAATAGTAAGAATTGGAAAAAAGTCTTAGTATTAGATCTTACTAAAAGATCTAAAGTGTGACCAAAAAGTGTGTTTTTTACCTTAATTTATCACCAATGTTCACTATTTTCATTCTGATAGATAGATAGATAGATAGATAGATAGATAGATAGATAGATAGATAGATAGATAGATAGATAGATAGATAGATAGATAGATAGATAGATAGATAGATAGATCTGAACTTTCTGTTCAGTCTGTTCATCTAAACAATTTTTCAGTTGTTTTAATGCTGTTGTTGTCACGGCTCCAGCTAACTAAGTGTAGTACAATAGTCTCTCTTAGATGTGAATCTGGGTCCTGTATTGCCATGGGGACAGGTCTGTTCTCACGAGGTTGTGGGGGCGTTAAGTCCAAACTTACCAGTTTGCATGTTATTGGGAGGGCAAAAGATTGCGTAAAACCTCAGAAGTGCTATAATTAGACCATGTACAGATCGCTATGAAGACTTGTCTCCTCATCTGCCTACACATCAACATACATAAAATTTTGATGAAACCTCATTATATTAAACACACATAGAATAGGATGTTTCTCTAAAGAACGAGTGCACATTGATTGTGAAAGTAAGCTTTTTCTGCCTGATTGATCTCCAGTGTATCTGCAGCCAAATGAGTGACATGCAGAACGAGAAGAAAACAGACAGAGAGAATTAAGGTTGGATCAGACGTTAATTATGTCTGTTAGTCTTTGTGGAGCCAGTGATGTCACTGCAGCATGTGGTCGTACCACATCAACTCAAATGATTAAGCATGGCGCTAGCAACACCACAGTTAGAGGCTCAATTCCTAGGTAAAATATGTACTGGTAAAATGTGTAGCTTGAATCGTGAGGTAACAAACCCACATTTTTATGAATCCATCCATGGAACAGAAAAGAAGATATTTTGAAGAATGTATTAACAGTTTTGCTATTAAAAATGGAAGTCAAAGTGTTTTTTAGAAGCCCACTGAGACACTAAGGCATTTTTCATAATATCTTCTGGCTTTTGTGTTCCACAAAAGATAAAAGTCATACAGCCACCATCATGGCAGCTTAAACCATTCTGAATCCATAAAATAACACTGATGTAATGTTTACATATAATGAACACTGACTGAACCACACATTATGCATTTACTGAAACATTTTACTTTGCTGTTTTTTGTATATTTAGCTTCCAATTCCCTGCATGCTGCTTGCCTGTTACATGCAAAGCAGAGATGAAACCCTTCCCATCAGGGTCAAGGGTGAGCTTCTACTTCTGTCTGGTAATTTCTCTACTGTGCTACAGAGTCGCGTGTTATGATGCAATCGTTAGCCTATTTTTACAAAAACTGCTTCTACAGGGTCATAACATAAGATACAAGGTAATGGAGCCTTTTATACATTGTCGTGTTTCTTTAGAAATAAACAATGGACAAATGGAGTCTTTAAACTCCTCAGATGGAAAGTTATTTGCTGTCAAAGTGACGCTAAAATGAATGGAAGTCAATGGAATGCTAACAGCAGGTGAGGGCTTGCTAGCCAATGGCGGCCCCCAGGGAGACTTCAGATTGCGTTGAGCGCCATCATATCTATCCCAAACTGGGTGCTCACATGACGTTAAAGGGATACTTCACCTCTGGAAAGATGAATGTGTATTTAAAATGGGTCATTTATGTAGAAGAAATGTGAAATTATTTTTGAATTTGAAGCTTTCTAGACTGAGAAAGACAGAAAATGTATTTTTGGCTTATGTGGATGAAAGACAACAACTCCCAGAATGCACTTGCTTCGCTGCCCTAGGAGGCCACGCCTACCG